CTTCAACTCCCCGAAGAATCCCTGGGGCATTCTGGGGTCTCCACCCTGCCGGACACCACGGGAGGGGAGCAGAGGCGGACGGCCCGGCTCTGTGGGGGTGATAGAACCCGGCCATAACCCCCCACGGGCGTCCACGCAAGGTGCGCCGATCACGGCGCGTTGCCCCGATGAACCTGGGGCCCTGTCCACGTCCTCCTCCACCGCAGCCTCTGAGATCCCAGCGGACGGGAGCGGACCACACCCGGCCCCGGTGAGCGGCAAAGGCGGTTGAGCATCCCCGGCTGGGGCTCCAGGAGAGGGGCCTGGGGCCCGGGGCTCGAGACCAGAGTGAGCAGACGGGGCATTTCTTGAAGGCAGAAAGAATCAGCGCTGAGTCGCGGGCTGCTGTGCCCAGGCTGCAGCCGGTGGCTGAGCGCAGGTGTTGCAGCAGGCAGACCCGACCCCGGCCAGCCGGGCTGACCCCGAGCACCTCCCCTGCACACCTGGCACTCTCCCTCGAGGAAGCACCCTCCCCTGGGGGGTCGCAGAGGAATTCTGACCGGGCCCTGAGCCTTCCTCCAGTCCTCCCCCCGTGCGTGACCCGGGACAGCTTCCGTAACTCGGATTTCTTGCAAACGCCAGGCTGCGTCCCACAACAGCACGATACACGCCAGACTCACTCGGGGCAGCCAGGAGCCAGGACTCTGAGATGGGGAGCCCCGGGGCCCCCCGCAGCCCGGCCCCGCTCTGCCCTCACACGGCTGCTTCTTCTGGGGGAAGACCACCCTTGCTCTTCAGCAAGCTCCTCCTTGGGCGCCAAAACCTGGCCGTCACCTCTTCTGAGAGGCCCTCCTTGCTTTCTGAGCCTGCATCCTGCCAGCCCTGCCCTGCCCCCACGGCCCAACCACCTGGCCTGTCATTCTTCCCGTGCAAACCTGCCTCCCCACCCTGCGCAGGGAGCCCCCAGGGCAGCTTCTAACCCTGCCCTGCCTAGAGTCGGAACAGCAGCCTGCCAGGGAGAGCCATTGTGCCAACGCAAGGTCCTGATTATTAGAGCAATTTAAAAAGAAGCCTCTCCTTCCGGGCTTATTTTGCTTGATAAAGCACTTTTAAGTGGCAACATTTTGTGTTAATTTTTTCAACCAGCTGCTCCTATTATTTGATTATACATCATTCAAGGCTCTCAAAAGCAGGCGTGGAGCACTCGAGAAAATAACTTGAGTCTGGTGTTGTTCGTTCCCGCGGGGGGGGCTGGGGGCTGGGCTCCAGCTCCCGGGAGGATGCTCTGGACCCGAGTCTGTGCTGCCCGGCCCAGGGGCCACGGGCCACACGTGGCTGCAGAGCTCACGCCACGGCGAGTGGAACTGGGCTGCACCACGTGCACACTGCTCGCCCAGACACGGGGACTTTCGGCTGCTTCAGTGTCCACCCGTGACACCGATCACATGTTAAACTAGATAACGTTTCGGACACACTGAGTTAAATAAAATACATTCCTAAAATTAATTTCATCTGTTTCTTATTTTTTCTCTCTCTTAGAGACATAGTCTCGCTCTGTCACCCAGGCTGCAGTGCAGTGGCACAATCACAGTTCACTGCAGCCTCCAACTCCTGGGCTCAAGCGATCCTCCTGCCTCAGCCTCCTGAGTAGCCGGGACTACACCTGCAGCCACCAGCCTGGCTAATTTTTTTAAGTTTTTTTGTAGAGACAGGGTCTCACTATGTTGCCCAGGCTGGCCTCAAACTCCTGGCCTCCGGCGATCCTCCCACCTTGGCCTCCCGCATCTTGCCTCTGTTTTTTGATGAGGCTACTAGGAAATTTACGCGTGGCTCGTGTCTGACTTCTACTGGGCGGCACAGCCAAACCCGCCTGCCGCCTGGAGAGAAAAGTCCCGATCCTGGTTGAACAGGAGGCAAGAGCCACCGTGCCGTTCCGAGCGCAACGCCGTGCCCGCTGGGCGCCCTGTGGCTCCCTCCCCCTACCCTCGACGCCACTGTCAGTCTCCCACAGTCCCATGAAGCAGGTGCCAACGCCGTGCGTCACACAGAAGGAAACCGAGGCACAGACTGGTGAACGACTTGCCAGAGGCCACACACTTAGGCAGTGGCAGTGACCAGGCTCATTCCAGGTGATGTCCCAGGGCTGCCCTGGGAGGAGGGCATGGCCAGGCAGGACAGACTTACTCTCCCAGGACCAGCGGGGCGCAGCCCTCGGGGGGAAGCGGGAAGGTGGAGCTGGGGCTGCCGAGACCTCAGTGACCCAGAGGCATGACACCGGGGACCGTGAGCTGCCCAACCGAGGCTTATCTTGAGCGGGTCCCACGTGGGAGACCCCCAGCCTTCACCAGGGATGCCAGAGGTGGCCTAAGCTTGCCGCTCCTGGAACCCTACCACACTGCCCTGACTGCCTGCTAGCTGTCCCCTGCCTGGGGACATAGGCCGGGGTAGGTAGGGGTGCGACTCTGTCACCTCAACATTCCAGCCCCCGGCCCCAGGCTTGGCACACACACGGCGCTTAGCAACCGGGTGATGACAGAGTGAATGACTGGATGGATGGATGGATGGATGAAAGCAGACACGTGGCACACGCACATGGTGGTCCCTCACTGGTCTCCTGACACCATGCAGGGTCCCTGGGGGGACAGCCACACCCGGGACCTCCCCGCACAGCGGCAGTGTCTGGGGCCCGGGTGGCTGGGGACCTCTCAGCCACTCGAGGTGGCATCGCCACGGGCCCAAAGGAAAGAACTGGTCTGCTCTGCTCCAGACGGCCCCTCCTAAGCCCCCACCGCACCCCGGCCACTCCCTGGCTTCGGGTCTAGGCCGTTCGCTGCCCTAGCCCAGCCTTGAAAATCCACGGTTCTCCCCCAGCAGAGCCCGGCGAGAAACGGCCTGTCTGTGTCCTGCAAATCGCCGTGACGGCTGAACAGCCACCCCGGGCCCGCAGAGGCAGGGCGTGGGAGGACCTGCTTGCAGCAAGAGAAGAAGGGAAAACACAAACGCATGAAAAATTTATTAAACCGGAGCCACTGGGGCCAAACTGCGAGTTAAAGATTCAAATTCGCTCCCCTCCCTGGATTTATGTGTTTGCAGGGACTGCGGCCGCCGGGAACTCGCCGTTCCCCCGAGATGCGGCCTGTGCAAAGCCACATGCCCACCAGGCGCCTGCCGGGAGGCGTCCCGTGCCAGGCCCCGGCTGCACCAGGCTGCGCCTGCGCCGTTTCCGGAGGACACAGGTGGGAAGCGCGGCCCCGCCCTGGCCTGAGACACCGGCTCTGCACGGCGCCAGCTTAGGGCCAGACCTGGGTACGGTCACGGCTCTGCCACTGCCCAGCGGGGACGTGGCCAGGGGTGTCTCCTCTCTGGGCCTCAGTTTCCTTATCTGTAAACCAAGGACAACCACAGAGCAGACCTCACAGAGCAACTGGGGGTAGGGAGGCCACGAGGGAAGTCCCGGCAGGGCCCGGCCCCACAAAGGCACGGGAGACGCTCGCCGTGGCCATCCTGTGACGTGGGTGCTGGCGCTCCACCCCCTGCAGGAGCCGTGGGACCGGGAGGGACGTGAAGAAGACGCGGCGTCTGACCCTCTGTCTGCGGGAGACACTTAGCCCTAATCACGGTGCACCCCTTGGACGGCCAAAAGGCCAGACGGGGATATATGTGCTGGGGTGCCAGCAGGGCAGGGCAGGGCACAGGCAGGTGGCAGGTCTCCAAGGCGGATGATGCCAGGCTGGCAGGGAGGGCAGCGGCTCCAACCCTGAGCTCAGCGAGCACGGTGGCTGCAGACTCGGCCAAGCACTGGGTCCTCACCCTTGGGCACCTCCCTCTGCTGTGCGACCAACCAGACCCGAGCTCTCCGAGCCTCAGTCTCCTCGCCCCTTACAGGGTGGGGCGGGCAGCCCCGTCCAGCCTCAGGAGGCCCCGTGTGCTGGGGTGGCCGGAGCCTTTTGCTGGAGTGTTCTAAGTCCCTCCCTGACTCCCAGGACTGGTCGGGGCGGCAGGGGCAGCAAGGGGCTCCAGGCCCCGGGTCCGTCTGGCCCCTCCCGCTGCGCACCACCTCTCACCCGCACCAGCCGGCCAGCCGGCACTAGAGCGCCCAGCAGCGGTGGGCCCAGGGCCCCACGGCCAGCTCGGCTGCAGGAAGACGGGCACGTGGCAGCTACTCCAACTGGCGGGCGAGGACTTTCTTTCACAGGATTGCAGGAGACTGGCCACCAGCATGGCGTGACACGCTGAGCTGATTTTCAGGTGCCTTAAATTGTTTACACAGACAGGGACCTTGCAGAAGGCGTTGTCCTGGGCGCCACACCCAGACGGAACCAGGTGTGAACGACAAGGAGGCAACGTCCCTGCAGGTGCCTCGCACACAGCAGGCGCTCAATAATTGCCCTTATGTGTATTCTTACTGTGGCTCTGACTCTCAGCCTGTGCTCTAGGGTGAAGGGAAAGAAATACAGCAACAGTCTTCCCAGACGGACGCGCATTTTATCTATGGCAAACAAACATGCTGTCTCGAACAGGAACAGCCACCCAGCCGCCGGACGCCCAGGAGGGCAGTGGGCAGCGCGACCACTGGGCAGAGGGACCGCTGGGCAGAGGGACCACTGGGCAGAGCAACCCCTGGGCCGGCGTCCCTCCCATGCCCCTCACCCAGCCCCCAGCAGCCGGCCACGCGACCCCACCCTGGTCACCGCTGGCCTTGCAGGCCACGCCTGGGCAGCGTGCGCCCTCTCAGCGCCAGCAGGAAGGACATGCAGCAGGGCACCTGGCGCCCCGAGACAACCCGGACCCCATGGACCCCTCTGCTCTCAGCCTGCGCTGTGGGGCCTCTGCTACCAGGAACGCCAGCTCCAGCCCCGGCCCACGCAGCCTCCGTGGCCAGGCTGGGGGCTCTGGCCCCACCAATCCTGAGCGACTCTGCTCCCAGTGCCAAAGTGGCCACCAAGCTGTCTCCTGGACACCCGCAGGAAACCTCTCCCCGCCTCCCCTCTCCCCTCCCTCCACTTCCCCCTGCGCCTTACTCGGCCAGCTCCTCCAGGCTGCGGTAGACGTCATCGTCATTCTCTGTGGTCTCCTCCGAGGGAAAAGGCCTGTGGGGGGGAGAGAGAGAGAGAGAGGGACATGAGCAGGTCCCACGGCACTGCCACCCTGCTGGGGTCCCGCCTGGGACCTGCCACGGAGCCCTGCAGGAGCAGAGAGGCTGTCACCTGCCCTCCTGCAGGAGACAGGTGCAGGCACCTGAGAGAGGGGACCCTGCCAGCTCGCCCCGGGCAGAGACATTGCTCCTGCTCCAGGCCCAGGGGACACAGAAAGCTTTCTGCCTGCTGACAGCTCTGCCTTCACCTTCCACCTCGGGGGACTCTGGAAACAAGGATGGGGGGCTCCCTGGGCAGCTCGAGGTGTGGCATGGGTTGGGGGCTGCCGGCTGCAGTCGCCGCAGGAGAGGAGGCACGAGGGGGTTCCGGCGGCTTCTGGGACGCCGAGGCAGGGGCCACAGCAGCCTGGTCAGGGCGGCCCCCAGCAAGGACATGCCCTCCCCTGGGAAGGGAGCCCAGGAGCAGGGTCCCGGGGGAGCCCCAGAGGAGCAGGGTGGTGCTCTCCCCGCCCCCTCCCAGCTTGTCTCCAGCCCCCCCAGAACCCCCCCCCCCAGCCTTCCTGCAACTCAGGATGGTCCATGAATATATAAATATACAAAACACAAACTTCAACCTGGCCCCTTCTGTGAGTCTCATTTTTGTGGCACTCCCGTGCAGACGCGCATAGTTAAAATTGTTTTTCTCCTGCTCATCTGACTAACGTCAATTCGATTTGTAAACCAGCAAAGAACCCAGAAGGGCAGAAGGGAGCAGGCCGCACCCCACGGAAGCATCGCCGGCACTCTCCTCGGCGCAGACGGGCGTGGCCCCGAGTGGACAGGCATCCCTGCACCGCGGAGCACAGGCCACTTGCCAGCCACTCGGAGCAGAGATGCCACGGGCCAGCCTGGGGCAGGCCAGAGTGGGGGGCAAAGGCGAGATCGGGGTGTCAGCTGGTGCAAAAGCCGGGACCCAGAGCAACCACCTCCGGAGGAGGGAAAGGCCCCTGTGATTGAACCGAACGCTCCCTGCAGAGCCGCAGGCACGGGCTCTGGCAGGAAACCTGCCACCACGGGTCTGGCAGGGGACCCCAGCTGGGTCTCTGAGCCCCAGCCCTGGCTCAGATGCCAGCTGGGGCTCCTTCCTCGCCTGGGGTCGGGCTGACATTTGCTCAGCCTAGAGGCTCAGTGGGGACAGGAAGCCCGCTGCCCAGAGCCTCCACCAGTGAGCATGGGGGCTCTGATCTGTGGGGAAGAGGGGTTGGGAGTCCCCTGAGCTGGAGCTGCAGGCCTGGGTCCACCCTGGCTCTGTCCCAGGCCTGCGGGGACCCTGGGCCTTAGGTCTGAGGTCCCCAGGCAGAGCCAGCAGATCACTGGTCCACGCCACCTGTGGCTTCCCAGCAGCAGCCTGTGTCCCAGGTGGCAGCAGGGCCCAGCCTGACCTCTGCCCTCCTTCCGCCCGTCACCATGGCAGCGGCACCGCCAGTGGAGGTGTGCATCCTCGGGTCACAGGCAGGGCTGAGGCCACTGGGACCCCTGGCTCACAGCTCACGGCCAGGAAACCCTGCAGGAAGCCGCTTCCTCCCGCCACACGCAGAGCCCGAGGCTGACCCAGACCCCGCACGGCCGACAGGGAGCAAGGCTCAGCCCGGTCGGAAGGGCCTGGCTGACACGCAGCTGCCACATGAGGGGCCGGAGCACGCAGGGCCGGAGAGGAAGGCTCAGGCCAGGCGGGTCCCAGCACGGCTGGGGGTGGCGGCTAACTCCCTCTCGGTGGGAAATGCCACCGCCAGGACGGGCCCTGCCCCTGCGCCAGCCCCTGCTCGGGCCGAGCCGGCTCCTCCTCCAACCTCATGGCTCATTTCTTCTCTCTCCGAAGTTGCTATGATGAGTAGTCTTGTTTCCGTGACAAAGAAAACTCTTTTCTTTTTTTTTTTTGAGACAGAGTCTCACTCTGCTGCCCGGGCTAGAGTGCCGTAGCATCAGCCTAGCTCACAGCAACCTCAAACTCCTGGGCTCAAGCGATCCTCCTGCCCCAGCCTCCCGAGTAGCCGGGACTACAGGCACGCGCCACCATGCCCGGCTAATTTTTTCTATACATTTTTAGTTGGTCAATTAATTTCTTTCTATATTTAGTAGGCACAGGGTCTCGCTCTTGCTCAGGCTGGTCTTGAACTCCTGAGCTCAAAACGATCCTCCCTCCTCGGCCTCCCAGAGTGCTAGGGTTACAGGTGTGAGCCACCGCGCCCGGCCAAAATTCTTATTTACTATATACAATGTGTCCTCATCGACACACCAAAAATGCAGAATGCACTCACTCCCGACAACAGCACATCGCGTGTAAGACGACACGGTGGCAAAGTGCCCCCGGGTGCAGAGAGGGGAGAGGAAGGTGTGAAACCTCCTGAGCGTTTTGCGAGGTCGTGACCTTGTTCGAGCGCCACCCCGGGGTGCGGGCGGTTGGGGAAATGGGCCGTCACATCTCGCCCTGGGGCGTGTCAGCGGGCGCAGCACGGCCACTCGGCCAGAAGCCACCTCTAGAAGCCACTCTGCCAAGCCGTCCAGAGATGCGGCAAATTCTGTAAGGCCGTGCGCCCTAGCGCCGTGCGGAATGACACGCGAGGCACCTCACGCACTTCCTGCGGCCGGGCAGACATCACTAATCGACCGCAGCACTAGGATCTCGGAAGCCCAGGCCTGCCTCCAGCCCCGCTCCGCCCCCGATGGGGCCCACCTGCCCTGCCAGGTACGTGGGCCAGTGGTGACAAGGGGCAAAGGCTTTGGAGCTGGGCCCACCCCGCTCCGTGTGACCCTCTCTGCTCTGTCCTCGCCCCAGAGGTGGAGATCAGAGTCCCTCCTGCAGGTCCTCTCTCGGGGCTGCCGCAGCGACCGAGACAGAGGATCATCGCTGCTACTTACTTCCCGCGTGGACCTCACGCGGCCACGCTACTGCGCAGGACACTGCCCGATGCCTGGCTGGGGCCCAGGAGCCCCACGCCCAAACTGTTTCTGCACCTTGTTTCCTAACAGGAACTTGGAGCCCGTGAACATAGGACAGGAGAGCAAGTTTTAAATGTTCTGTCTGTTTTCTTAAAGACCGGGCCTGCGTGTAGCGTGTTCCTGGGTTTCCCCTCCCGGGTCTGGCTCGGCCCTCGCCGTCTCCTCCACCTGCCGTCCCCCCGTCAAACTTTGTTAACACAGGAGAATTACGCTGCTGCCCGTGACATCGCCGCTGTTCTTATTCTAACAGCCCTGTTTGGGGGCACAAACCCCCTTGGGAACCGAGCTGCAAATCCAATCAATTTATGCCGCGAGGGGAGTGCAGGGGGGGAGGAGGAGCCTTCGGGGACCTGGGGGTCTCAGAGCCGCACCGCTGGGGCTGCTCCGAGATGGTGCGGGAATGCGGCAGGTGGGCTTCCCGGGCCCCTGGCCTCCTCTCTTTCCGCCCGTCTTGCTCTGCCTCAGCCGGGGTCCTACTCTGCCTGGCACAGCACCTGGCACTAGGAGGGGACAGGTGGGCGGGCGGGTGACAGAACGTGGGTGCCAGGGGTTGGATCGTGGGTGTGTGGACGGACGGGTGTCTGAGAGGGCAGGTGGGTGGGAGAGTGGCTGGGGTTGGGGTTGACAGGTGGCTGAGGGGATGGTGGACAACGAGCAGGCGGGTGGGCGGCAGCTGGACTGCAGGTGTGTGGGTGGGTGGGCAGGTGGGTGGGAGAGTGGCTGGGGTTGGGGTCGCCAGGTGGCTGAGGGGATGGTGGAGAACGAGCAGGCGGGTGGGCGGTGGCTGGACTGCAGGTGTGTGGGTGGGTGGGCAGGTGGGTGGACATCAGATAGTCTCCAACTGCGTCTTCCTGAAACGATGGCACGTGGCAGCCCCAAATTGGATACGAGGACGCACCCCCAGGGAGAGCTCACGAGAAGGGGATTCGAGTCACCCCCAGAAGCGACTTTATAGACCGACTTTGACCTCACAGTGGGGAGACACCTTTGCACAGAGTCTGAGCAGCTTTTCTGGGGCCACGTCCCAGGTGTGACTGCAGCCCAGGAGCAGGTGAGGCTGCATGGGGCTCTGGTCACCCGGCAACCTCCCGTCTTCAGCCATCCACGTTCCGTCCTGCACCAATCCTGAGTCTCCCCTTCCCCGGCTCACAGGGCATCCAGACGCCGTGCCGTAGGGTCCACCTGCTGGCCTGGAGGGGACAGAAGCCAGGAGGGCCGCCGAACTGCGCCACGCAAACTGTCCCGGCCACCCCAGGGCCGGGCGTGGACTGTGCACCCTCGTCCCGCAGATCCGACCTGAGCCGCAGCCCCTCGTGCAGCTTCTGGGAAGCCACTTCCCTGCACCTCGAGGGCCCTGCGCAGGCGTCCACATGGGAAGCAGAGAAGCGCCAAGCGCCAAGTGCCAAGAGCAGGGCAAGTCCCGGCCGAGCCCCCGCCTTGCAGCAGCGCCCCCTTCCGCAGTCCTGTGTGGCCCCCCAGCTTCCTTCCCCCTCTAGTGCCTCCCCGCCGGGGAGCCCAGCTCTGGGCAGCAGTTGCAGCCAGAGGAGGAAGGGGTGACATCAGGACACCCGACGGGGGTGCCTAGACCCAGACCCCGAAGCAAGAACCGAGGAGGCGCAATCCCAACATCCGAACGTCCCCATTCTCCTTCCTTCCCCGGGTGTTTGCCGAGCACCTGCTCGGAGCCACCTCCGGCCACGTCTGCACTGGTCGGGGAGACAGAGCAGCCCAGACCCAGCTCTGAGTCACGCATGTCGGGCACAGCCTCTGCACGGTGCCCACGTATGCAACTGTACCTGCAGGGACACAGAGACAGGTCCCCCAGACATGGAAGGAGGCGCCCACCAGACACCCCAGGGGTCTTCAAGGCCAGCCCAGCCCGGCCGGACCCCCAAACTCAGAGCAACAGCGGGCAGCTTGGGCTTGCTGGTCAGGAAGGCCCCTCGGAGCCGACAGCCACACTGGGCTTTTAAGACAAAGCCTGAAGTAGCCAAAGAGAGGACCCCGAACACAGCC